TATTTAAATGAACGCCCTCGATACATAGATATTGCATTATACAATAGTATAAAGCACTAACAAGGGTGTCTATGGGCTGCAGTTACTGCCTTATAGCTGTTAAGTAGGCACCCTATCTTAATTAAAAAATACCACTAATATTTGTTTATTATATCGAAAGCTTAACTTATATAGCTATATTACAACCATTTCTAAATCCTTGAGAGAACTTCTCTTTCCCAGTCTAAAGAAAACTTTCGATTACAATTTTAATTGGATAAAACAAGACTTCCATTAAGGTATGAAGGGTACATTAATCAAAACAAAACAAAACTAATTGTGAAGCACCTGTTCTGTTTAACAGCAAATTGGTCGAGTTGGAGCTTAATTACTGAAGTCCCGCTGACCCTGGATGCCTGAGGTACGGTCCCTCTTATTAACTTAGATTGACTGCATTTAGCCTTTTCGGGTAACTATAACCCAACTTTATATTAATTTAACTGTTCTGGGTAACGTAGAAAATGAAAAGTTATTTTAAGAGGTCACTTTGAAATTGTTAAGTAATTTGGAAAGGTTCGTGTATGACTTTAAAGGGGTAAGTGAGTATCAAAGTAAAACTGATACAATATAAAAAACAAATGTATTAAGCAAAGTAAAAACATCAAACTTTAAAAAGCTCCGTCAAGTTTATATTAATCTCGTATCTAAACACGAAATAAAAACCTTGTTTTCGTGTTTCGTTTTAAATGTACCACGTTTTAGTATGCCTTTGAAAAATATATAGCTGCATAGATGAAAGGAGCGGCGGGAATTGAATGATAAATATTTGAAAAAGCGGCATTGTAGCCCACAAGTCGGCCATTGTGTAGTCGGGCGATACTATTCGTTAACCCGTAACGAAAAATGGGTTTACTAAAATATTTGGAGAATGACCCGGGAATAACTTTTTATTTATACGTTGCCATTTTGAGAGAGATTATACCTACTGTTAATGATAAAATAATAATTAAAGTAAGTAGAAAAAGTAGACTCTATAAATTCTACATTCTTTAACTGAATGTCATGTATTATATGGTAATTACTATTAGGTATGAGTAATAAAACATTATTATATGACTTTAAAATCCAAAATGTCTGCGACATTAAGCTATCAAATCTATAAATCAGTGGCACTACAACCTCTTTAGGTCTGGGCCTCAGATTTCTGAAACTGTTTTATGATCATTTTTCAATCTAATAGGCAAGTAGGTGATCAGCCTCCTGTGCCTGACACACGCCGTCGATTTTTTGGGTCTAAAACATGTTGGTTTCCTTGGTGCACAGCCGGGGATCGAACCTACGACCTCAGGGATGAGTGTCGCACGTTGAATCCACTAGGCCAACACTGCACTACACTATAATTATTATATATATTACAATAAGGGTAAAGGTATGAAGTTACCCTGTTGTACTGAAAAAATAAATCGCACTATTAAAGTATTTCCACGAGATATTCAACATCTTGACATCATTCAGTCATTGTGGGCTGGTCGAGGATCTGGTAGCCTCCCTTTAAGTTGGAGAAATTTCCTTCATTAACAACACTAAGAAAAGTACAATATATTTTAAAAAGACTGAAGTCTAATGAATAAAATATCAACTCAATTTACTCAAACCAAAATTCCGAACAACGCGTAATTGCGTTGATTTAATCAAATTTAACTAAGTTTGCAAAACGATATTTAAAGCTCGGCGTCCCTTCTTTATTCTTTTGTCATTTGAAAGTAATTATACAAAAAGTTTATATTTTTTATCTGTTAAATTGTTAAGTAATTTCCTGTGTAACAATTTAAAACTTATGACGTTTAAGGAATTTAAATTTTATTAACAGACTTTAACGGTTTCGGTTTTATTTTATAAAGAAAACTCACTGTTTCATTGTAAAGATTGACCATTAACAAATAATAAAATATCTTTAGTTCTATTACAAAGATTATGTATGTAGTGTTAGCGTTTAATGACATTTCCATGTTTGAACATAACTCCTATATACAGGTATGGTGTAATTAAAGGATATTATGATACCTGCGGGTTATGGCGGTTCAGAAAAATATGTATGTTTTATGTAGTCTCTCGGTTTTCGAGATATTCAAAATTTTCGAAAATTAAAACTCATTTTATTAAAATTATTCGAAAATTAAAGACTCATTCTTTTTGGTGCCAAGACTCCAAAAGATTTTCTTCATTCTGTTATTTGAACAGTATTCCTGCTTGTTTGCTTGCATGATTTTGTTTAACAACCTTTGTTCATGATCATTTTTCAATCTAATAGGCAAGTAGGTAATCAAAATCCTGTGCCTGACATACGCCGTCAACTTTTGGGTCAACTAAGACATATCGGTTTCCTCACGATGTTTTGTTGTAAGCTTCCTCTTTCCATAAGTACAAAATGCAGCTGTACCGTTCGAATAAGCTACTACTTAACTGTCAATTTAAAATAAAATTTTGATATACCTTGCAACGAATACATGTAAAAATTGTTTAGAAAAAGTTAGTAGTGTTACTACTTAACCCGTAATTGGCTAATTGTAACAGGCTTGGGGCAAGTTGTTTGACAAACCTGATGAAATGATCTAGAATTTTTTTTTTCCGTCATCCACGCTGAATAATTGCCAACTGCAATGCAATTTGGTAGGCACATTTTACAAAAAAACAACAGTGTAGGTTAAACACCTGAGCGTTGGATACAAAAACATAGGCGGGATGTGGATGTGAATATAACTCCTGTCTGAAAGCAAATGATTTTATCTCGGGAGATGAAGATAGCACCTAGAACCATGTCGCGTATTTTCAAATATGACTTAGAACTTGTAGCCTATAAGAAACGTACTGGCCATTTCTTAACTGATAATTATTTAAAAAAAGAATAGGGTGGTAAAATCGAAACAACTACTGAAGCGATACGTAAAGTGAGGTCACAGAAAAATTTTGTTTACGGATGAGAATTTTTTTACAATTGAGTAACATTTTAACAAACAAAAGGACCGAATTAATGTTCAAAATCCGACTTTAGTGATGGTTTGGTGGGGTATTAGCTATGAAGGAGTGACTGAGCGAAAAACGTGTATCAAGATACCATTCTTGATAAGGACCTGATCCTTATCCGCTGGATTATGATTTATGGTCAGTTTTAGAGAGTACGGCTTGCTCTAAACGCCATGATAATTTGGAGTCCCTAAAACAATCCGGACGATTGGCAGTGAAGAATTTTCCCATGGAAAGAGTGCGTGCTTCTATTGATAACTGGTATCAACGTTTAAAAGACTGTATTGCATCTAAAGACACCACTTTGAATAAGCTTTTTATATATCAAATTGTTTTATATTTATGTATTAAACTAATACACAGTTTCAGTATTTATGGCAAGACTAGGTATATATGTATATAGCAGCATGGAGACGCCAGCACTGTCTACAGTTAGACTAAATTAAATTGATTAATACGGCAGTTAATAAACCAAAGTATGTGACTTATGTTCAGTCTATCGGACGATAATTGAACCTTTGATAACATAACTAAGCTGCTTACTTCATTGATTACACTAACATCAATTAATACGATAATTAGATTATTGCATTACTGCTCGTACAAGGGAAATATATAATTACACATCATATTACATATGTCAACTGTCTAGTCTGCATGTCTTATATGACAATTGACATATTATTCCGCTTGTATTATAAGCGCTTATGCATAAGTAATTGTACTCTTTAGCGTGAACTCTAATTAAAACATAGTTACATTTAGCTTTATTGTAAAACAGGAACTGATAGTATTGTGATTGTTACCATATTTACGATGTTGTGTAAAGAAACAATGTAATCAGTAGGTCAATCAAGGGCTAAGTATCACCTCTGTAGGACAAATTAAATACGTTTTTGACACACCGGAGTTGCACTTAGCATTAAGTTTCGATTCTGAATCAGATGAGAAGTAAATTACTTTGGCTAGAATATGGGTTTTCGTTTTACAGTCTGGATAAACCCTTATCTTCCAACCTATAGATCGTAAAATCGAGAAATAAAATATGAATCTATCACAGTAACGAGAACTATGAAGTTTAAAGTTGGCGCCTTTTGTAACACCGTCTGCACTAGCGCAGTTATTATTGGTCCAACTCGGAGTTTAATGTTTGTAAAGTTTTATGAGTTAATAAACTTCCTTTTCCAAGAATTTAATATTTAGTTACTTTGAAAACTGTGATGTGAATAGAAAGTATCGTTGAAGATTTTATTAGTAACCAATCATATCACTTACAAAATATCAACCTAAACAAGTTACCAGTAAGTTGCACAGAGCTAACATAACATAATTTTTTTTAAATATTCCTATAACATTATTAGTCCATTGAAATGTTACATTTTTTAGGCCTAACCTTGCGTTTTTTAGAGGACGCAATTTTATTTTTTTGATGTGTAGAGGGGGTCAGTGTAAAGCTAAAACCAAGTTTGTGGGGTCGCCACCCTTGTCCCACGGCCGCCATCTTGAAAATAGTGGTTGAAACGGTTTTTATGATATATCTCTTAAACTATTTATTTGATAAAAAAAATTTGTTAACATTTTTTGTTGCAAATTAAATTCTCTACAACTTTGGTCCAGTAACTTTTTATCGTAAAACTATAAATAAAAAAGTTATAAGCGAAAATCTTCAGAAATTCGAGAAAAAAATTTTAGAGTTTGCAAGTGGAACGGCTTTGTTTCTCAACAAGAGAGTTGATCCTGCTTTGCTCACTGTAATTGGTGAACGTTTTTTTATCTCTTTATACGGTGGTAATAAAGATGATAATTCTCTTGACAGCCTAAGATACAAACAATTCGCCAAGGCAGTGACAAAAAGTACATTTAACTTATCTTCACTTCCTCCAACACAAGACACAGCTCGCTTTCATACTTTCCGAGTCTACCATCAGGTCCAGTCGTGACTTGGTAATTATAATGATCCTGAAGACTGGGGCTGGAAAAAATGTGGAAAATTATTGATGCCAGTGCAGAACTCTAAACCTCCAGCACCCCCGGAGCTTCTAAAATTGATCTTTTGCAAATGCAAAGGAAACTGTGGAGCGATGTGTGGATGTCGAAAAGCAGGACTGAAATGTTCTGCAGTATGCTTCCATTGTTCTGGAGAGACTTGCAGCAACGTAATGGAACTCTCAGAATTAATTAATGAAAATGACTTTGATGATGAACCGCCAACATTAACACCCCTTCCTTCTCCAGTTTTCCCACTGGTATTTGATTCAGAAAGCCAATCAAATGCTGAGCCGCAGCCTGGTCCATCGAAACGACTGAGGACGAAGTAGTTCTAATTTAGAAAATTACCGTGGATTATGCCTATTGGGGATACCACGTAAAAAAAAACGCGCCTCTAGACTCTACCTCGTGGGTGGTGGGGAAAAGAGTCAATAATTAATTATTAATAATATTGCTAAATTTGTAATTAAAAAAGTTATAATAACAAAAAAAAATAAAAAAATAACTGATGACATATTATTAGTACACACGTATAATATAGGTATAGTTAAGAGTACTAAACAATAGTACTCACTTCGGAGCGCTGTAAAACCTTAGCTATTAACTTAATGAAAAAATGATGCAAATAAAAGTTGTTCCCCAAAAAACGATCTACAAAAAAGGTCTGATATTATTTTTTCGTAAAATGATAAAAAAAAAGTTATATCGAAAAATATAATTTTTTTTCTCGAATTTCTGAAGATTTTCGCTTATAACTTTTTTATTTATAGTTTTACGATAAAAAGTTACTGGACCAAAGTTGTAGAGAATTTAATTTGCAACAAAAAATGTTAACAAATTTTTTTTATCAAATAAATAGTTTAAGAGATATATCATAAAAACCGTTTCAACCCCTATTTTCAAGATGGCGGCCGTGGGACAAGGGTGGCGACCCCACAAACTTGGTTTTAGCTTTACACTGACCCCCCCTACACATCAAGAAAATAAAATTGCGTCCTCTAAAAAACGCAACCCCAAATGTAACTTTTCAATGGACTATATAGACATTCTAAATTTGAAAACGCTATTATTATATTTGTATCACATACGTAGATAATTAAGACAAAAGTAAAGATAATTTTATAGAATACTTTATTTTAATTTTAAATAAGCAAAAACATATGCACTCAGCAATTCGTCTGTAAACTAACATTTACCTTCATAACATTGAAACCCACAGAATGAAAATAAAACTCAGCATAATTTTAGTCTAAAATGTTGTATAATTTAATTCTGAAAAATACATTTCATATTAAAAGTAAATTATGTAATACAACAAAGGCAGTAATAGTTCACACACAATTACAAGTGTAAGCCTAAGACCATAGTGCCGGCTAGTCTAAGTATTATCTTGAACACGTCACATACAAGAGCGATATTCATCTTCCCACAGAGCCTCTATTGTTTTAGAACCTAATGAAGACAATGAATAGTTTATCATAGTTATACGCGGTTTTCTCGCTAACTTTGAATGCGGGCTTCATCTTAACCATAATTCACACCTGTCAACAACTAATGTTTACATTAAACTATTGGCAATATGTTAAAATGTATTTTATTAAAACCTAAACAAAACAATCGAATATACGGTACAGTCAAAATCTGTTATAACGACATCGAAGGGATTACTCATATTTGGTCGTAAAAACCGATAGACGTAACAGCCGATGACGTTGTTATTAAGTACCTAATACAATAGAATTCAGCCGGGACCTTTGATTTTTGGTCAATATAACCGGTATGTTGTTCTAAACGATGTCGTCGTAAACGGTTTTGGCTGTATTTACAATTTTCTTAACCTACTACATAGTAATGATAAAAATAATTAAAAAGAAAATTAAAACAAATTTAATACCTGTGGCAGTGTACCTATTACGTCATCACTGTATTGCGATACTTAAATTGTAAAATAAATTTTTCAAGTCTGTATTTTTTTAACAGGTGGCAAACGGGCAGGAAGCTCATTTCATGTTAAATGACACCGCCAGCCGGTCGCCCTTGTGGAGTTTATAATAGCGTCGCTAATATCATGTGACAAATACCATTTAGAAAACCAATAAACCGATAACTCTTACCGATAAAAATACCTAAAAATATATAAAAATAAAATAATATTATAACACATAATATACACAGCTGATCAAACACATTCGCCTTATCTATGAATAAGTTCCGAGTTTGTTTAAATTTTGTAGATTTGTTCTACATATTTCTAAGTTGACTCCGATTTATCGGTTACAAAAATTGTTTTAAAGTCGAGAGGCTTTTATCGGTAAGAACCTTATAATATATTTTTAATATGATAAACCTCGATTTGATTGGCATAATTTAATATATTTTATAGAAACTAATTAAAAGGTCCTTTAAGCGTACACTGTACCTAAACGTTTTGAGTAACTTGAGAATGGACTTTTAATTATATTAAAGAGCACTGTTGGCCTAGTGGCGTCAGCTTGCCACTCTCATTCCTGAGGTCGTTTGTTCGATCCCCGGCTGTTCACCAATGGACTTTCTTTCTATGTGCGCATTTAACAATTAACATTCGCTCGAACGGTGAGGAAACCGTGATGCCTTAAACCTAAAAAGTCGACGGCGTGTGTCAGGCACGGGAGACTTATCACCTACTTGCCTATTACATTGACAAATGACGTCTGAGGCCGAGACCTAAAAATATTGTAGCCACTGATATTTTTTATTAGTATCGTAATATCAATTTCGATACGACTTCTAATGAGCGTAACATATCCTCAAACGCCAGCAACGCACCCATGTGCGGCGGTCATCTATCAGACCCGCTGACTCATTGGCTAACGGTCTCAAATGTATAAAAGATCTTAGGACAATAAGATTTTTCATTTCAATTGGTCTAGTATTCATAAATAAGTATAATTGTGATAAGCTAGTAAAAGAAATAAGAAAGTTAAGATGTAAAAATTTAAAACTTTTGTGGTCACAAACTATAAAGCTATGGACATACATAAACGAACAGTGCCGCTTAAGGTTTTCGTGATTTCAATGTGATAATGATGCACCCCATAGAAGCCAAATTATCTTCATAACCAGAGTGCAGCATTACTGTTAAGCCAGGACTTGTCGGTATGAATTTTGCTTTGAAATAATTTCGACGTAATTATATTCAGTTTTCATTTTCATCAAGGCTTTGTTAAAAGTAGAACATTCACTCAAACTAAACAAACTATTATGAGCGTACATTAACGTAATGAATTCATATTAAAAAAAAGGTTTTATAACAATACGTGAATGCGCTTTCATAGACAATACAAAGAGGAAACTGACATAAACAATACCAAGGAATGAAGAACACCTGTTTATTCTCTCTCCTCTTAATATGCAAAAGCTTGATTTTAATTTGTATTCAGCTTAAGGTAAGATACCTGTGGGATTCATAAAACGAAGCGACGTTCAAAAGAATAGCTAAAAACAGAATGCGACTCACTGAATACGGTCTAAGAAACCGTACTTCATTTTCTGTCCTAGAGTCCTTACTGCACTCATCATAAGGTCTAAAATAAAAAGAATAGTTTTATTTGAAAGTCGGCAGACAGATGCAGCGAAAGAGCAAACGTTCTTAAGCTGCATTAAGACGGTAGCCGGCTAATACCCCGCTGCAACATTTCTGCATTTTATGAAAATCCTCAGAATTATCGTACGTACAGACAAATATGTTAACTCGTTTCAAGAAATTGTAAATTAAAATATTACAGAATCATTGTTTATATACTTTGCAAGACTGAGAATATTGAGAAACTTTATCAAAGTCATAATAATTGTGTTAAAAAGTAATTTTAAACATCTGCGCTATACGTAACTTCCAAAGTTATAATTTTATTTCATAATAGAAAATTGAATGGAATATAAGTATGATTATGTATAATTTACTATATTATTGGTGCTACGCCGTATACTAATTACTTGATAATTTATTAACATCAGAAACATAGTTATTGTTTATTTACGAAGAAGGAGGTATACAATTTGGCATATATTATTTATGTAAGTTTGAAACTCAAGCTCAAATGAACTTTATTAATATATGTAACCAAGTACACTTATGAATGTCAACAGAAAAGATGTTAAATTGATTCTAAATTTACATTTACTACCAGTTCACCAGTCAAGGGCGTAGAACAGGCAAGAAGAACTGGCAAGAAACTCTCCGCCACTCTTTTTAATCGCTAAGTTTTGAATCATAGATATAGTTTTCACTACTTGTTAAATGCTGTCGATTATTGCACAGTTCGAAGGCGTGACATAAGTTTCCAGAATCATACCACCTACCTACCGGCTACGTGTTAGGTAAAATAATAATAATAAAAGCCTTTTATTTTACATATCATATCATTATTTTAGATATCTGTGTCTCCTTTTTAGCTTCCTCCAAATCCCGCCATTTCTGTCTGCTCTGTGCCACTCTCTTTCACCACCTGCTGTTTCCTTAATCTGGTCTATCCATCTTCTAAATAGTATTCCTCTTTTGCGTTTATTGTAGGTACTTTGCTCACCTGTTTCTTGCTACACATTTCTGTTCCGCTGGCCATGTGCCACGCCTATTTCCACTTAAATTTATTTACTTTTATTGTGACATCTGCTATCTTAGTTAGGCTTCTTAATTATGTATTTTTTTATTTTATCTATTATATTCTTTAATGTTAGGGTATCTATAAAATTTATATTAATATCGTATATTGAGTCAGAACAAATAAAGAGGTACAAAACAAAATACCAGGAGTACGTCAAACAGATTTAAAGGATCCTTATCACTGTCAGTGGTAGGTTCAGTAATTATAGACATTTAATGTGATATACATTGTCTTTTATTTACGAAAGTATCACATTTAAATGAACATAATATCATATACATTTAACACCTCAGCACGTGAAAACTCTTGCTGTAAAGAAAAGGCAAACCTATTAAATTCAACACGAATACTGTACTTTTATGATACTAAATTTTAATGACAAAAGCTTATTTTTGAGAAATATATATATATATGGTTTTAAATATAGAAATGTAGGAAATTCTAACTTATATTTGACCGTGACTACGTTCTAAATGCATAATACAAAGATGTAACTTTTATAACATTGCCAGTGAAAACTACTACAGGAACTTCACTGAGAACTGTATTTATTTATTTACTTTACCAATTTATTATCAACAAAAATATTTGTGTGTGTGTTACATATCCATTGCACTTCCTTTGCCCCGCATAAGCAAAACTTTCACCCCTCTGACGCAACACCATTATAAAAGGAAACGGACAACTCT